ACTCAAAAATTTTCCTTATGTAGATCGTAACCACCATGCCTTTTCCTCCCCACCTTTAAATAAGGATACACAGCTTCAGCATCTCTGACAACCATTAGAAAAACCTGAGTTACTACTCTCCATAAAGCTAATATTTCACAAATAAATTTCTCTGCCATGTACTAAGCCAGAAATTTAGATTTATTATGAACTTATATCTAATACTCTGAAGAAATAAAGAAATAGTTGTCACTTCCAAATAACTAACCCCAAACTAACTTATTGGACAACTCATAGATTTTAATGTCCATGCTGTTTTCTTCCATAAAAAAGCAATCCCAATTCCACTTCCAGAAAGATCAAGCAGATGTACTTATTCCTACCTTCCACCTTTATACAACTAAACGGATGTAAGAAGATGCTGAAAGTGGAGATAAGAAGGTAGACCTGCTAGGCACCTAGGGACCCATGGAGTGACACAGTAGTGAATTCCCTGGGTTTTCTTTTTGCTTTATTCCACAGATAATGAATGGAAAAAGCCAAAGAAAAGAGCAGCATATTAAGACAGGAAACTCTTCAACAATAACCAGCACTCCAGGCAACACCACATAAAGAACTCCGGCCTACTTCCACCCACAACAGCAAAAGTCAAGTGGGAAGCCTAAATTTCCACCCTCACCAAGCAGTAATGTTGTGCCCCAACCTGACTCCCAGATGTCCCCCAGTCCCAGTGATATCAGAGAGGGCCAGACTTTCTTCCCTGCCAGGTGGTAATAAGACCCCACCCCCACCCCTGCCAGATAGTGCATGAGGAGATCACCTGGAGAGCCCAATTCCTACTCCCACCTGGCAGTAATGAGACACTCATCCGGCTGTTATTAGAGGAGGCCCAGCTGGGAGTCAGGACTTTCACAGCCTCCCAGGGGTAAGAAAGCTTCCACTAAAACCCACCAGTGATGTCAGTAGAGGCCTGGAGAGGAGCTGAAACTTCCAGCCCTGCCCAGCTGTAAATGTTTGAAGAATTAACACCAATTCTACACAATCTCTTCCAGAAAACAAAAGAGAAGGGAGCACTTCCCAATTCAATTTATGAAGTTAGTACTACTCTGATGCAAACAAACAGAAAAGACAATATAAAAGAAGAAAACTATAGATCAATACTTGAATATAGAAACACAAATCCTTAACAAAGTATTAGCAAAAGAATTCAACAGTATATAAAAAGTTGAATTTAATCCAAGAATGCAAGGCTGGTCTAATATTTAAGAAATCAGTCAATGAAATATACACTATTAATAAGCCAAGGACAAAAATCCTTATGATCATACCAATCAATACAGAAAAATCACCTGATAAAATCATTACATATTCATAAGAAAAACTCTCAGAAAAAAACAAAATAAAGCAGAACTTCCTCAACTATCTATAAAAAGCCTACAGCAAACATTGCACTCAACAATAAAAAGCCATATGCTTAATGTAGTCATCTTATTATTGGGGACTAGCCAAGCATGTCCATTCGCCCATTCTTACCATGCCTTTATTTATTTATTTATTTATTATTTTATTTTTGAGACAGAGTCTCACTCTCTTGCCCAGGCTAGTGCTAAGGCGTCAGGTTAGCTCACCGCAACCTCAAATTCCTACATTCAAGGGATCCTCCTGCCTCACCCTCCTGAGTAGCTATGACTATAGGCCCACACCAACACACCCAG